TCCCAGGTATGGGAAGGTTTTATTGTAGATATGAGAGAGAGAGAACAGCATCTCAGAGGCATCTGCTAGAGTCCAGAGCAGAGAGAGAAAGCAGTAGACTGAATCTGGCCAGCAGACTGGACCTGGCCGGTGCTAGGGAAGCAGGAGAGAGAAGGGAACTCGTGGAAATAGCCGGGGCAGGAACTGAAAAGAAGACGGTGAAAACAGCCGGGGCTCAAGAAGGATGAGTCGCTGTCAGGAGGGAAGCTCTGAGCTGGTGGGAGTTTGAGTAGAGGAGCAGTGAGCAGGGCTAGCATGCTAGTGCGGACTTGCAATGTGTAACAGGTCCTGTGATACTGAAGGAGCCCGGAGGCCAGCGTGCGCTGTGATTGCTAGGAAATGACTCCCTTTGATAGACAGTAACTGGCTTCACAAGTTCCTGAGGAATACTGGCTTTCATCTAGCTGCCAGAAATCCTCCTCTAGTCCGGGATGAGCTCATTTCTAGATATTTGGACTGCCTTTTGGAGTTCGGGGAACTGGAGTTTCCTTTGGACCTGATGTGTGTGTGTGCGTGTGTGTGTGTGTGTGTGTGTGTGTGTGTGTGTGTGTGTGTGTGTGTTACTTTTGTTAAGTCAAGTCGGGGTCTACACAGCCTTGGTTGGCCTAGAATTTGCTGTGGAGACCAGACTGGTCCTGAATTGACAAAGACTGCATTATCTGCCTCCCAAGTGTTGGGATTACAGGCCTGAGCCACCATGCCCAGTTGGTGATGAGACAGAAGGCCGTCAGGTAGTTTTAGGGTGACAGCCCTGGCTTAGTCAGGGTTCTGGTGCTGTGAAGAGACACCATGGCCACAGCAACTCTTTGAAAGGAAAACACTTAACTGGAGGCTGGCTTATGGTTCCAGAGGGTGAGTCCATTCTCATCATGGTGGGAAGCATGGCAGCAGGCAGGCATAGGGCTGGAGAAGTAACTAAGAGCTACGTCCTGATCCATAGAGAGACTGTGCTGGGGGGTATGACTGCTTTTTAAACCTCAAACCCCACCCCCAGTGACACACTTCCTTCAAGAAGGCCACACCTACTCCAACAAGGACACCCCCCCAATCCTTCTCAAGTAGTGCCACTCCCTGATAACTAAGCATTCAAATATATAAACCTATGGGATCCACTCTTATTCAGTCCACCACAGTCACCTAAAGCAAGTAGTTTTTCTCCAAGGTCCTGTTGGCAGTTCTGTCCTTGTCAGAGACCAGGGATATCAGAAGGGAGATGGGGTTTCCACATTGTGACTCTTCTCTGAAATGAACGCCCCTCTGCTTTGGAAACTATACTTAAAGACTGGAATGAAACTGAGAAGAAATACCTGGAAACTTCGTGGGTGTCTGGAGTGACTCCTTCTCAACACCTCACCCCAATTTCATCCATCAGTCATTACAATCCCCCAGACTAGTAGCTCATTGGCAGGTGTACCACTTCTCGGTGCCCACCCTTAATGGACGGGAGCTCTGCCTTCTTTCTCTTAAGCTTCCTATGATAAAACTTGTAAAACTCACCCTCTGTGGAATGTGGATTTCATTTTTCAGATTCAAGGGAGAAGAACCTGAAGGCACTGATTCAGTGGGCTTCGGGCATCTGAGCTCTTGGATTGAAGCCCACCTGAGCAAGAGACAAAGCTTCCATCACCTCAAGGACAGTGCCATCCCGCATCATATGTCTATGGTTAACTTTTTGGAATATATAACTCTTTATTGTTAAGCAGGACATCGAAGTATGACTTTGATGTAAAAGCAATAGTTGAGACTAGCAGGATGGCTCAGAAGGTAAAGGAGCTTGCTGCCAAGGCTGACAACCTGAGTTTGGTCCCCGGACCCACAGAGCAGAAGGAGAAAAACTCAGTTGTCTTCTGATTCTATATGTACACACACACACACACACACACACACACACACACTGAATAAATAAATGTAAAAGGAAAGTGATATTTTAAGCCATGGAGCCATGGATAGTTCACCAATCAAATTAATGAGAAAAATGGATTTTGTTTATAGATGTATTAAGAAAAACCGAGAAATAACCTCTGAGAATGGAAGGGATTTCAAGGGAGGATGCCCCTTTCTTTTCATTTCACATTTCTGGAGACTGAACCCAGAGCCTTGAACGTACTAGGCATGTGTTCTACCACTGAGCCCTTGTTTTGTTTTTGAAATGAAGTCTACATGGCCCAGGCTGACCTGGAACACATACACATACACATTCCATCTCTCTCTCTCTCTCTCTCTCTCTCTCTCTCTCTCTCTCTCTCTCTCTCTCCCTCTCTCTCTCTCTCCCTCCCTCCCAAGTTGGCCTCCGACTTGACATTCTCCCACCTCAGACTGTTTTTGTTTTATTTTTATTTATGTGTGAGTAGTTCGACCGCATATATATGTATGTGTACCACGAGCCTGCTCATGTGCCCACAGAGTCCAGAAGAGGGGAGTAGCATAGATGTAAAAGAAACTTGAAGTAATAAAATTGATGTTATAAAGGACTTAGTAATAGATTTGCTTAGGAGACATTAAATCACACAAGTGGAATTATCTAAAGGATAAGTAGCATGCTAACCAGGCCTCTTAGACAAGTGAAATTTAGGATGCTAGGATGTAAATGTTTATTCATCAGAATTGACTAGCTATCATTAGGTCACATCTGCCATTAGATATACCTCTCAGAGAGTAGCTCACAAAGGCATCTTAAGGTCACAACCACCATCAAGTCCTGGTCTACAGTTAAGTCCCCTGTGTTCTTAACAGGAAAGACATGGTTTTGCCAGGTGGGCAAGAAGACCCTGGGTAACAGCCATTCGAAAAAGAACAACACCGGAATACTTCAAGTAATTCTGGCAATAGGTAATATTTGCTTTTTAATCTCTTCTGTGCCTAAGTGGCCAGACTTGCAGCATCTTGTCTCTGTTTAAATTGATCGAGGTGTAACCTGGGGCTGGGACCTGAAAGAGACTTAAGGATGACACTGTGGGATGCACAAGCCTAACATGTATATGAGTTAGTAAAATCTGTCAAAGCCAACTCTAATTTAGGCATTAACCACAGTCTGACAGACACTTTAGTACAGTGTAAAAGGATGTTTCCTGTCCCAACTCCCCTGTTCCAGATAACTGACTGAGAGTCTGAATATGAATTATAAATGCTGGGGTGAGAGCTCAGGCTTGTTACTAGCTAACTCTTACACTTAAATTAACCCATAATTGTTATCTATGTTTAGCCACATGGTACCTTTTCTCAGTACGGCATTCTCATCTTGCTTCTCTGTGTTTGCCCTTGCCTCTCTGACTCCGCCCTTCCTCTTCCCAGAATTCTCCTAGTCTGGATCTTCCTACCCAACTATCGGCCAATCAGCTTTTTATTAGCAAATGAGAGTAATACATATTCATAGTGTATAAAAAGATTGTTTTACAGAAGTATAGAGCTTTTCTTCCTTCATCTCTAAGTGTGAGGAGGGATTTTTGACTAGGAAGGCATATTTTTGTAACAGTATCTCCTGAAACTAGTCAGTTGTGAGCCATCATTTGGGTGCTGGAAATCTAAGTCAGGTCTTTAGCAATAACAGCTAATAAATGCACTTAACCACTGAACCATGTTTTGGTTTGTGGAATGCCCTGTGTGTATGCCCATGCATATGTAATCTGAGTGATTGTCTGGCTTATATTAGGTTTTCCTATGTATCTTTTATTTTTTGATGCTGTAATTTCTCAGTTTCAGTATGTTTTCTCAAGGAGTCTTTCCTACATTAAACTTTGTTACAGCTGTTGTTGCCGGTGATGGTTTCTCCCCTCCTCCTGACTCTCCATTGCCAACCTTCTGACAGTTCTCTTCTAGGTAACCGGGCAGTTCACAGCCAGCAGATGGCACTGTAGCAGGGATGGACAGAATTCTTAGGTTTTTGACAACCACGCTCGTGATTCAGGGCAGCACTTTTCACCCAGACTCTAATAAAGCAGACTGAATTGTCTACAGCTAAAGCTTCCAGCTTACAAAGCAGAACCTAGCTTTGTCTCCTGTACCCCACTCCATCACTAGACGGATGCCTTTCATCATCATGTCAAAATATTCTCAGAGAAGCCATGATAGGGCAGATTTCTGAAAAAAGTGCCTGAGGTGACCCCAAGATGATTTAAATGCAGGAGATAAAGCAAACTATCCCCATAGTTTAAGGAAAAGAAAAACCCATTCTAACAATCAGGAAGTCATCTGAATGCTTCTGACAACGGACTGAAATAATGCGGTTTTTGTTGTAAAGTTCCTTACTTTGTTTACAAAATTTAGACTCAGTTTGGCTAGATTTCCGCCCGAAGAAGCCACCCAGCAAGGGCAGTCCCAGAAGCCTGAGTAACTACTGTTGCATCCCCCGCCCCCCATGCCCTCATACTCTCGTTGGGTTTCCGATATTACAGAACATAGTACTACTGCAGAGAGTGGAAGTAAAACAACAAACAAACAAAAACTGTATCCCCAAGAAGACGGGTTCAACTGTCCTGACAGTGGTGCTGTTTTCAGCTTGCTATTACCATAGATGAAGTGACCCTGCTGTAGTATACACACGTGAGTCAGCTCACGTGCATTCCTTAGAGGCCCAGCCTACCGCGTGATGGAGAAAAAGAGAGCACAGTATGCTCTCCCAGGATTGTAGGCGGCTGCTGCTTTCACACACACACACACACACACACACACACACACACACACACACACACACACACACTACCGCGTGATGGAGAAAAAGAGAGCACAGTATGCTCTTCCAGGATTGTAGGCGGCTGCTGCTTTCACACACACACACACACACACACACACTACCGCGTGATGGAGAAAAAGAGAGCACAGTATGCTCTCCCAGGATTGTAGGCGGCGGCTGCTTTCACACACACACACACACACACATACACACATACACACACACACACACACACACACACACACACACACACACACACACACACACACACACACACACACACACACACACACACACACACACACACACACACACACCCCAGCAGCAGCAGCCACAGCGCAAGTCATCCAGCCTTTATTTTTCAAACACACGGTAGCCGTCCAGTCTGTCTAGCCAGACCGGCACAAACTGCGGACATCTGGTTGCCATGACCACAAAGGAAGCCTCGCAGGCCACGAACGCCTCACGCTACGTCGGGACGCAGACACTACGCAGGTACGCAGACACGACGCGGGCAGGGTCCGTAGCTCGACGATCTGCTAACTACGTCTGATTGAGTTCGGCGTTCTTCTCTCGGCCCTTGCGCTTGCGTACTACGGCTCGTTCCCGTCACCGCGTCCCGGATCGGGAAGTGTCAAAGTGGGAGCCGGGATCCCCCGCCTTCGCCGCCGCTACTGCTGAACCCGGACCCTTCATCCCGGCCGGGCCCTACCGCCATGACGAACGGTGAGAGCTGGGGGCCGGAGCGGAGGATGGCGGTAGAGGATGGGGGGGGGGGGGGGGGGGACAAACGTGGCGGGCGGGGCTAGACTGACGTGGCCGTTCCCCGCCCCCTCCCAGCCCAGCCCCCCTGGGCCTTGGGGAGCCCCTAGCTCCTGTCTGGGATACTTCTCCCAGGTTCCCTCTTCTCACGTCCATCGGTGTTCTCAAATGCTGCCTAGTGCCCACACCTGACTTTTTGGTTATTACCCTTTCTCTCTTTCCTAGAAGTTAGCTCTGGCCACTGGGGAGGTCGGTCACCATAGAATTAGTGCTGTTAGTCCCCAGGGAATAGAGGATGTCATCAAGTTCCCTGAAGTCTCATACTTTTGGACAGTAGGCTGCTTGAGAGGACCTAGGAATGGTATCAAACCCCCCACTTTGCGGGCAAAGTGAATGGAGAAAATCCCCAAAGTTTTTTGTTTGGTTGGTTTGGTTTTACTTGTTTGGCTTTAAAAGTCCTAGCTGGGTGGTTCCCTCCGGAACCTCTGGCTTATGTTGCAAAGGGTGGATTTAGGAGCCGCCTTTCGTTACTGATGGAGCGCCTGCCCCCCTGTTTATCTCACCTATTTTTTCCAAGCTGCTTCAAACAATTTTATAGCCAAGGTTTCCAAGTTCTAGAGGAGGAATTAAGACCTTTATAGTCAGTTTTACAGGAAAAGAAGTGAGAAAGCTTTTAAGGCACTGTGATTGGAGGGTCTCAGGAAAGCATTTCTCACAGACTTCCATAGACTTGACACTAAAGAGTCAAATGTCACGTCCTTTGGCATTATCTACAAGAACTTATAGGAGCAAAAGAGTAGCACATGAAGGTGTCCATGAAAACTGTGAGTGTACTGGTGTACTGGGACTAGCTGTGAAATAGTTCCACTGGAGGAAGATAGACAGTGTGGTCTAGAACTGGGAGGAACTGGCAGACACTGGTTATGTGTAATATCCATTTGAAGCATTCTGGGTAGTCAGTCTTACCATAGTACAGAGAATTAGAAAAGGAGCATCACCCAGAGGAAGACATACTGTGAACTAGGAAATAGAACATTCTAGTGTAGTGGATAAAATTTACCTTTATATAGTTCATTTTGCTTACCTATATAACACATGAAACAGAATTAAGAGCTTTCCATGGTGTCTAAGCATCAGACACATTTTTTCTTTTTGAGACTGGACTTTGTATGATGTGTGTGACACACCTCTAAGCCTGGCGTGGGGAAGAGGGAGGGAGGGAGGCAGGCAGACCACACGTTTAAGGTAAGCCCTGCCTCCACAGCAGGACCCTGTCTCAAAAACAGAAATAGGACATGGCCTCCCTTTGTAGCTTAGGCTGAGCTTTGCTAATGCCATTGTTAAAGGAGTTCATCATTATGGATGCACTTTTTGGATATCAGTTTTTCCTATCTTTTCCCGTATGCACACTTTGTGTTCTGGCAGGAATCTGATTTGTAAAAGGTGACTCATGCTTGAAGTATCAACTGAACATAGCGAAAGTGTAGCCATATGAAGTCTAACTCTTGGAATTTCCATTAAGCTTTTCGGTCTGCCTAACATGCTTTATCAACAGATGCAGATCTGAAAAACTTGGCTGAAGATTGAGCTTTCCTTCATCAGATGAGTGATTTATACCAAGAACATATGTAAATCTTTATGCTCAGACTTTCAGGATCCTTAAAACCTAGTACAAGCACCAGTTACTCCCAAGACATAGGTCCACACAAGTCCACACGTTTTCAGTTTGTACTGAGGGCAGGCAGTGAAGTTGTAAGGGGGCTGTTTACCACCTGGGAAGTAGTGCCAGCTGTTGGACCCTTCCTGTGGAGTGCTGGCGCTGCTGTTGAGGTCATCTCGGCCCTGAGCTCTGGGCAGGCTCTCCTCTCCCAAGCTAGAGCAGCACCAAAGGCTTCCTCTCCCTCTTTGTGTGACAGTGTACTCCTTGGACGGCATTCTGGTGTTTGGTCTGCTCTTCGTATGCACCTGTGCCTACTTCAAGAAAGTACCTCGTCTCAAAACCTGGCTGCTCTCAGAGAAGAAGGGCGTTTGGGGCGTGTTTTACAAAGGTAAGGTCTTCTCCAGACCCAGAGAGGAGATAGAGCTTTCTCGGCAGCATGGTTCTCTAAACTAGAAGGCAGGGGGCTGGGGTTGTATTTGGATTCATCTTTATGTGTGAGTGTGTGTGTGATGTGTTGTGGGTGTGTTTGCTGATTCATCTTTATGTGTGAGTGTGTGTGTGATGTGTTGTGGGTGTGTGTTTGCTGCCGTGCACACCTGGCTAGCTGGCCTCTGTGAGCCTCCAGGAGTTTCCCTGCCTACTTATCTTAGAGGTGCTGAGGATACAGATGTGTGTGACTCTGGCCAGCTTTATGTGGCTTCTGGATTTTTTTTTTTCTTTTTCCGGAGCTGAGGACCGAACCCAGGGCCTTGCGCTTGCCTAGGCAAGCGCTCTACCACTGAGCTAAATCCCCAACCCCAAATATGTTTTTTTTGTTTTTGTTTTTTCAAGACAGGGTTTCTCTGTGTAGCTTTGCGCCTTTCCTGGATCTCGCTCTGTAGACCAGGCTGGCCTCAAACTCACAGAGATCCGCCTGGCTCTGCCTCCCAAGTGCTGGGATTAAAGACGTGTGCCATAACCACCTGGCGGCTTCTGGGGTTTTAACTCAGGTCCTCACACTTGTGTGGGAAGTGCTTTGCCAGCGTCCATTAGTAATATACAATAGTCATTTCTAAAGTTGAGGGAAGAGGTACATTTTAAATTTGCTGTTACTTAAGGCATACTTGTTTATTTTACTGTCTAGGTAACTTTGGTATTCCAGGGTTAAGTGAAAGTACAATGGCAGATGTGGCCCATGCTTATAGTCCCAGCTGCTGGGGAGGCTAAGAAGCCAGCTTGGGCAACATAGTAATACTCTGTATCTTGGGCTGAGGTGGGGATATGTTACAAGTTATATTATTTTAGGTTGGCCTGAAATTCCTCTTAGCAGGAGAATATTTTTCTACCTATTTTTAAAAAATGTTTTTTAGATTTATTTTATTCATATGACTACTTTGTCTGCATGTATGTCTGTGCACCACATCCCTGATGCCTGAGGAAGTGGTGAGCCTCCCTGTGGATTCTGGGAATCAAACCCAGGTCCTTTGAAAGAACAACAGGTGCTCTTAACTACTGAGCTGACTCTCCAGTCCATCCACTGATTTTTTTTTTTTTTTTTTTTTTTTTTTTTTTTGGTTTTTCGAGACAGGGTTTCTCTGTGTAGCTTTGCGCCTTTCCTGGAACTCATTTGGTAGCCCAGGCTGGCCTCGAACTCACAGAGATCCACCTGGCTCTGCCTCCCGAGTGCTGGGATTAAAGGCGTGCGCCACCACCGCCCGGCTCTGATTTTTTTTTTTAACAGAACACATTGGAACCTTAATTTTAGCTTAATGAATCCATCCATCCATCCATCCATCCATCCATCCATCCATCCATCCATCCATCCATCCATCCATACACATTCACTTCGTTGTTTGGGGCACCTTCATCGGGAATCCTATGTAACTATTTTCTTTTCAAAGTAGGGTAAAATAAGGACAGGCATGGTGACACATACCTATAATCCTAGCCCTCGGGAGTTCAAGTCCAGCCTAGATTGCAGAGTGAGCTTTTGACTCCAAAAGGGTTAGGGAGGCTAGGCATGGCAGCACACGCCCTTAATCTCAGCACTCCGGAAGCAGAGGCAGTCAAGCAGGTACATCTCATGAGTTCAAGGACATTCTTGTTCTGCCTACAAATCCAGGCCAGCCAGGGCTGCAGAGTGCTATTCCATCAAAAAGTAAGAAGGGGCAAGGGGATAAGCAATTCATGTAGAGCCTAGAGTGTAATGGACCATTTAAGAACATTCCCAGGCTCACCAGGTGGTGCTAGCGCACACCTTTGATCCCGGCACTTGAGAGGCAGAGGCAGGCAGATCTCTGTGAGTTCAAGGCTAGCCTGGTCTACAAATCAAGTTCCAGGACAGTTAGGACTGTTACACAGAGAAACCCTGTCCTGAAATTAAAAAAAAAAAAAAAAAAAAAAAAAAAAACATTCCCAGACTCTGGAAAGCCTTGGTTCTCTTTAGAGATTTCAGAACATGGCTTTGGAAGCAAGGGTTTTGTGAGGAGCCGGGTGTAACTTCTCTTCACTTTTGTCTTCCAGCTGCTGTGATTGGGACCCGGCTGCATGCTGCTGTTGCAATTGCCTGCATTGTAATGGCCTTTTACGTCCTGTTTATCAAATGAATTCCAAAGTATCCCACTCATCAACCGCCAACCAAGGGGATAAAGATGAAGAACTTGTTGGAAACCTGGACCAAGTGTAGGAGAGTCCAGCTAAACTCATCAGTGCCCCTAAGATGACACAGCAGCATCTGCCTGCCACATGTGGGCAACACTCATGGTCACGAACATTGTTTTTACTCCAGGGGACTCCAGAAAGCCAACTTTTTTGATCTCTGTGTTAATCAGCCCTCAGCAGCAAGCATATATCTCCAGATAAATCACACCCCTTGGTGATATGATTATGTACCTCCTGCTTCAAAACCTGGGCTGCGTGGTAGCTCAGTAGTAGAGCATTTGCTTAGTATTGTCAAGGTCCTGGGTTTGATCCCCAACACTGAAAAAAACAACCTGTAATTGGACATCTATTTTGCTCTTCAGTCCATCATCAGAACCTTTTAAAACTGAAGCTCATTAGGGAAGGATATAGGCTGTGTTCAGACTTCCTAGAAGGGAAGACCTTATTGGTTTTTTGGTTTGTTTTTTGTTTTTTGTTTTTTGTTTTTTTTTTTTTTTTTGAGATACAATCTCTGAATATCCCTGGCTGTCCTGGAGCTCTCTGTGTAGACCAGGCTGGCCTCTAACTCACAGAGACCTACCTGCCTCTGCCTCCTGAGTGCTGGGATTAAAGGCATACATCAGAAGATAATTTAAGGCTTGATTTTATTGGCTAATTTGAATCTGGTGAATTGGGGAGGGAGGGTGGGACTGAGTGGGAAATAGGAGTTATAAAAGGTCAAGAAATAGTTTGGCTTTTGAAATGTGTATTTTCTATGCCCGTCTGGGAGTTTAAGAGAACATGGTTCTCAGTGTAGAGAGAACAGATTGCCATGTGCTGGTAGCTTGAGGGTTTTTCCAAGATAAACCAAGAATGTGCATTCTAGGGTTGTTGGTTTGGAGAAGCAGTGGCTGAGACAGGAAGCATTTTCTGCTCACCAGTGTCCTCAAAGAAGATTCCACCTGACCAACTGATAGGTAGAAAATGAACCAATTCTTACTATTTCCTAAAGCTTTTGTAATACTTTCTAAATTACTTAGTGCTAAATACTGTTACTCAGTTTTAAATACCAATGCTGGGGGAAGGAACTATTGAATAAATAATTGACTAATATATTTGAAGTTCTGGTAGAAGAGATAAGTAAATTAGTATATCAATTCATATACTAGTAAATTCATCTAGTATAAGAATTTATTGTAATGAAAGTATATATAGATGGGAATTCTGTCATGTTATAAAAGACACAAGCTTGTTCTTTAATCTGGGTTACAGCAATTTTTAATTGTGTCTCTGCAAACTCTCACTTTTCTTCATACTGCAGTATTTCACTGGTGTATTTTACTGTAAGACCACGAGAAATTGAAATGAGAGGAGTCGTTGATATTACCATATTGGACAGCTCATAGAATCCATTAATAAAATGAGTGTGTTACTGAGTAAAGGAAAACGGAACTTCCAGCTGAGTATTCAGGGATTTTCCATGGAATGTGAGGACTTCTGGACAGATGATGTTAGATAACAACGTTTGCAGGGAAGATTTCTCCATTCCTTCCTCCTTATGCCTGCAAAAGAATCAGCTGTTAGGTGTAAAGTCTACAACAATCTAAAAAAAAAAAAAAAAAAAAAGAGAGGTCTAATACTAATAATACACAAGGGTATACACAGATGTTCCAGTTGAGTTGTCATCATAAAGCTTGAGTGGACACGCGCTGCGGCTCACTCGCAGGGGAAGTTAAGTTCTCTCGTCTGCACACGCTGCAAGAACAAAGGCTGCTGGGACGTGGGTTCCCATGCACCCGAGTCTTTGATTGCAGCGATATAAAGCACTGCATGTGTGAGCATCTCTCTTCAGGAATTGGTCCATAGGGCGGACGGCAGTGATCGCTGCTTTCCGTGGTCATTCCTGAGGATTGTACACAGGAGAGAAAGAAATCTGATGGATCTGCAGAGATGCAGAGATCCTGAGAGAAAGAAATCTGATGGATCTGCAGAGATGCAGAGATCCTGGGATGAGTTGGGGACCTGTTGACCTACTGGGTGTCCCGTGGGAAGCAGGTTCAGCACTAGTTACTTTGTGTTTACTGACTTGTTTTCAAATGGGGCTGATGGCTCCAACTTGGGTCTGCAGAGCACCTTCATTTCTTAAACAGCTTTTCATTCTGCAGCTTCTTTCATGGCTCCTCTTGGCCTAAATGCCTGAGTTGATAGATTTTAAGATGTTTTCTTACCAGAATGTTCCAAAAAGTACATGAAGAAGCAAATACCCTATTTCACTTCTTGACTCTTGACTTTATGTAAGCAGGTACATAGGAACCTGGTGTACTTACTGTTTGGGCTGATGTGTCTCATTTTTGGCAAAGAAAAACAATGATAAATTTTTCCTCTAGGGGAAGTTCTTTAGGGGTGGAAGTTGGAGGGTCGCGATATTGCTTCAGATTCAGGTTCATCACCACGAACCCTGCTCACCTGGATCAAATGAAATCAGCTCCTTTTTATAGTTGAAATACCATTTTTTATTCACCATTGTTGGCACAGTCCTTGAAAATAAACCTTTTTCCCTGTGGTTACTGTCTGCTTCGTCATGTGTGTTTATTGAACTATTCAGTGCCCCCCCCCCCCCCCCCCCCCCCCCCCGGGTTCTACCCATAGCATAGCATGTTGGCTCACCTGATGAGTTCCCTGTGAAGGTTACAGAAGATATGATGGCCCAGCTTTTTCCTGGGGGAGCTGAATATGAGTCAAAAATGAAGTCTATTCAGTGAGGTAGGTTGCTCCTCTAATACATTTAACCAACAGGCCCACTATTAAAGACAAATTATTGGTGAGCTTCATTCTAAAAAGTTACCAGGTTAATCACCCAAGCCCTTAGAAAATATCCGAGCCAGTGGGATTCTAGAACATATGGGTACTTTCCTCCATGTCTGTTTATTGAAGGTGCCAAAAAGACTGGCATTAAGTACAAATTAAAGCTCCGGCCGGGCAGTGGTGGCCCACGCCTTTAATCCCAGCACTCAGGAGGCAGAGCCAGGCGGATCTCTGTGAGTTCAAGGCCAGCCAGGTCTACAGAGCGAGGTCTAGGACAGCCAGAGCTATAACACAGAGAAACCCTGTCTTGAAAAAAACAAAAAAATTACAGCTTCAGAAATAATTTTCTAATGGCTAAAATTCTTGTACTTTGCCACCCCCAGCTCTTACTGAAAAAGGACAGAGAAGAGGATGAAATATTAATACGCTCTCTATGGTGAGAGGCACATCACCATACCCCCGGCTTTCCTGAAACTTAGTATGTAGACTAGACTAGCCTTTAAGTCAGAGATCTGACCTGCTTCTGCCTCTCAGGTGCACCACGATTTCTGGCAAAAAATCAGATCTATTTCAATAGAATAAATGTAAATGAAGGCTCAGCATCAAGTTTTGGGCAGCCAGGAGACTCTGTAAGTGAGGCTAGGTATATACAGTCCTACATTTCCCCATTTTAAAGATACCCCGTTTCTTTACTCAAATAGCCTTTGATTAAATGTTTGGTTCAGTGGGTAAAGACGCCTGCTACCAAAGGTGTCAGGCTGAACTTGATTTCAGGACTGGAACAGTAGGAGGAAAAAAACTGACTCCTTGAAAGTTGTCCTTGACCTTCACACATGCATCATGACACACTGCTCTCACTCTGCCAATAAATACATATGATAAATGGTATTTATTGTCAGGGAGAAGGCTCGCCTCGAAGAGTGTTCGTATGATGCTCTTATTAGTAATAATCCAGGGTTGCTAAGCCCATGGTAAATAAAATCATCCACATATAAATCTGAGACTGGATCATTTCATAGCTATAAACTGGATATTTTTTAATGTAGGGCAAAGAAAAGATCAAATCAAAGAAAAAGTAGACAGGGATATAAACATTTACATTTTATATAAACTGATACATAGTAAAGGCTTTCTGCCTGCCTGTAATCGCAGCACCCAGAGGCTGAAGCGGAAGGATCTTGAGTTGGACACCAGGTTGAGGCACTTAGACTTTTAAACAAAACACAACAAAACCCAATTCTGTTTATGGAAATCAGTCCTTTTGTTCTGAGACCTCCCAGCCACACGGAGGCAGAAGAGAGTGCTCTGGGTAAACATGGTGTGCGGAAGCCGCCTGACCACTCTGTGGTTCCTCCCAGAATCCTTTGGGACAGGACGGAGTGTTTAAAAGAGGGTGCAACTTCCGCCTCCTCGCGAGTGGGAGCGCGGCCGGGGTCAAGGACGGAGCTCTTTGGTGTGGTGCTGCGTGCGTGGTGCGCGTGGGCTGAGTGTGAGTGTGGATGTGAGAGTGTATGTGCGTGCCTGGGGCGTGCGAGGCGAGTGTGTGTGTCCGCCCCGCGCCCCTCCCCCGCCTACACCTTGATCTTATTTGATCGGGTCGTGACCCCCGCCCCGCCGGGCCGACCCGAAATGAAAAGCAGCCCTCCTGCGAAGCCCCCTCTGCGGGGCGCTGTGCAGCGAGGCCTCCTGGGCGGTGGCAGTGCCGCGGTTCCCGAGGTCTCGGGATCGGTCCTGCGGGCCCGGCGCTCAGAAGTGATGAATTGATCAGATAGACGAGGCCGGGTCTGTCCCGGCCGCTGATTACCGAGGCGATTCTGATCTGAGCCCGACCCCAGGACCCGGCCGCCTAGCCCAGGACCCGGCCGCCTAGCCCGAGCTCTGGGGCCTCGTCTGCTGACGCCTAGCCGAGACCCAGGGTGAAAGCGCCCAGAGCAGACGTGAAGCCGCCGCCGGCCCGTGGAGGCCTTTGTTCCCGCTGCGGTTTTCCATCCCCCCTCTGTTTAGGCTGGGCTTGCTTGGTGATTTCTTTGTATCAACTGCGTTTCACCTAGGGCTAGAAGGCACTGTGCACTGTTCAGCCTCGGAATGTGTCCGTTAGAGGACATAAACAAAATCTGCAGGATCCAGGGACTTGGCCCATATAGTGAACTAGAATGGGATGTGTAAGATTCAAGGCTTATGGGTGGATGTTGTGTCTCTTATCTTTGTTTTTCAGGCTTGTGAACTTGGTTTGTAGCTGAGGAGGATCTTGAATTTCTCAACTGCCTACCTCCACCTCCTGGGCTCAGAGTACAGCCATTTTGCTAACACATTGAGCTAAAAGAAAAAAAAAAAAATATGTGTGTGTATCGTGAGATTGGAGGGGGGCACATGTGCGGGTGCTTGTGAAGGCCTGAGGTTGACTTCCAGTCTTCCTCAGTCATCCCCCATTTCATTTTCTGAGGCAGATCCTCTCCCTGTATGAGGAGCTTTGTCTTAACTAGCCATTTGTACACACACACACCCAGAAGTATAGGTGCACCCACCGGCTTTTATGTGGATTTCCAGACTATGATCTTCACGCTTGTGGCAGATACTTTATCCACTGAACCACTGCCCTAGCCCTAAAATAACTTTAATTGACATATACATTGTACTTATTTGGGGGTTACCAGTACATTTGCACATTGTGTAATGTCTACATTAGGGTAAGAGTACCTGTCTCAAATATCGTGTGTGTGTGTGTGTGTGTGTGTGTGTGTGTGTGTGTGTGTGTGTGTGTCTGTCTGTCTGTCTGTCTGTCTCACGTTTTACATATAGGATACATTGTTGGGTATTTTTTTTGTTTTTTTTTTTGGGTTTTTTTTTTTGGTTTTTCAAGACAGGGTTTCTCTGTGTAGCTTTGCGCCTTTCCTGGAACTCACTTGGTAGCCCAGGCTGGCCTCGAACTCACAGAGATCCGCCTGCCTCTGCCTCCCGAGTGCTGGGATTAAAGGCACGCGCCACCACCGCCCGGCTACATTGTTGTTTTTTATCACCTCACCTTGTAATAGAACATCAGAACTTGTTTCTCCCGATGGATAGCAACTGGCCAACCCTTCCCCCATCTGTCCATCACATTCTCCCTGGCCTCTGCTCATCACTGTTGTACTATCAACCTGTAGGAGAGCAGCTTGTTTACATTCCACAGGAGTAAGATGGTCTGTGTATTTTTCTGTGCCCTTTTTTCAACGTTCCCCAGTTCTAGGTATGTTGCGCACCAGGATTCCATCCTTTCTTCATGGATGTATACTCTATTGTGCTGGCTAGTTTTGTGTCAACTTTACACAAGCTAGGGTCATCTGAGAGAAAGGAAACTCAAGCCAATCTTAGGGAGGCTTTTTTGTTTTTGTTTTTGTTTTTTAAACAGGGTTTCTCTGTGTGGCTTTGGAGCCTGTCCTAGAACTCACTCTGTAGACCAGGCTGGCTTCGAACTCACAGAGATCTGCCTGCCTCTGCCTCTTGAGTGCTGGGATTAAAAGTGTGCACCACCACTGCCCGGCTCAATTGGGCATATTCTTAATCAGTGATTGATGGGGAGGGCCCACAATGGCCACCCTGTTGTGGATGGGACACCTTAGGACTGGTGGTCCTGGGCTCTGTAAGAAAGCAGGCTGAGTAAGCTATGAGAAGCAAGCCAGTAAGCAGCACCCTCCATGGCCTCTGCATCAGCTCCTGCCTCTGGGTTCCTGCCCTGTTTGAAGTCCTGTATTAACTTCAGTGATGGACAACCATGTGGAAGTGTAAGCCAAATAAACCCTTTCCTCCCCAGGTTACTTTGGCTGTGGTGATTCATCAAACCAATAGAAATCCTAAGACAGTTGTGTACATATAATACATTTTTTTTTTGTTTTGTTTTTCAAGACAGGATTTCTCTGTAGTTTTGGAGCCTGTCCTGGATCTTGCTCTGTAGACCAGGCTGGCCTCGAACTCACAGAGATCCGCCTGGCTCTGCCTCCTGAGTGCTGGGATTAAAGGCGTGTGCCACCGCCTCCCAACCATATACATTTTCTGCATCACACTTGCAAACATTCTACTACTGAGCTATTCCTTTTTATTTTTAATTGTGCTTGTATGTGTGCACAAGTGCTCGTGGGCATGTGAAGGCCAGAGGATAGCTGTGGAAGTCATTTCTCCCCAGCATGCAGGCTCCAGGGACCAAGCTTAGGCTGCCAGGCTTGGCAGCAAGAACTGTCACCCACTGAGCCAACTCAACCCATATATGATGTTATCATTTATTCACTGGTGGGCATTCAAGTTAATTCCATTTCTTAGCTATTGTGAATACTGCTGCCATAAACATAAGACTATGGGAGTTCAAATACCTCCTCAAAATACTGATTTCACTTTCATTGATGCATAACAAGTAGATGCAACACTTGCTGGGTAGATCCTATGGTTTGGTTTAGTTTTGAGACAAGATCTCTGCTGCAGGGCTGAAGCAGTCCTGGCCTGGCATCCCAAGAGCAGCTAGGTCTACAAGCATGCCACCAGTCCTGGCTGGTAGTTGTATTCTTTCTTTTTTTTTTTTTTTTATATTTTTTGAAGCGAATCTATTACAGTCCTGGCTGTTCTGCAACTCACTATGTAGACAAAGCTGGCCTTGAACTCAGAGATGAGCCCACCTCTGCCTCCCAAGGGATGGGATTAAAGGTGTGTACTGCCAAATGATCTGACTACAAGCATGCACATTTACCCGCCTAGTTTTTATTGAGTGCTGGGAAAATCCAGGGTTTTATGCATGCTGGACAAAGCACTCTACCAACCGAGCTATGTCCCAGACCTTTTACCAGCACTTGCGACCTATGGTTGTCTCAATCCCATCCTAATTACAGTGGGATGATACCTGATGGTGGACTTGATTTGCACCTCTAAGATGGTTAGTGATATCAATCTTCCATATACCCATTGGCCAGTTGCATGCTGCCCTATTACTGCTTTCTATTGCTGTGATAAATTACTGCTTTCTACTGCTGTGATAAACACCACGACCCAAAGCAGCTTGGGGAGGAGAGGGTTTATCTTACACTTCCAAATCACAGTACATCACTGAGGGAAGTCACAGCCAGAGCTCAGGCAGAAACCTGAAGGTAGGAACTGAAGTAGAGGCCATTGAAGGAGTGCTGTCTCCTAGCTTATTGTCCAGGCACACATCCAGCCACCTTCCTTAGACCTCCCAGGACCACCTGCCCAGAGGGGGCACTGCCCGCAATAGGCTGTGCCTTCCCATACCAATAACCAAGAAAATGCCCTACGGGTCAGGCATGGTGGCCCATGCTTTTAATCCCACTCTTAGGAGGCAGAGTTAGGTGGATCCCTTTGAGTTCAAGGCCAGCCAGGTCTACACAGCAAGTTCCAGGACAGTCAGAGTTACATGGAGACCTGTCTCAAAAAATAAAAAAAACAAGAGAATAAAATACCCTACAGACTTATCTACAGGCCAATCCAATGGAAGCATTTTCTCAGTAGAGGTTCCATCTTTCTAAATGATTCTAGTTTGTGTCAAGTTGAGGAGAAATTAAGGGGCACATAGAGGTTTGTTTAATTTTTAAACAGGGTCTCATTCTGTAGCCCTGGCCTAGAACTCACAGAAGTCTGCCTGCCTCTGCCTCCTGAGTGCTGGGGTTAAAGTTGGGTACTACCACATTGGCTCCCATGTGCTTTCTTAACAGCTTTCTTTGCTGAGGGTCAGTTGGCTGCATGTGGAGGCTTTATTTCTAGGCTTTTTATTCTGCCCCATTGGTCTAGGTATCTTTATGCCAATCCATGCTGTTTCTATGGATACCTTTATAGTGTACTTTTTTTTTTTGAGACAGGGTTTCTCTGTGTAGTTTTGGTGCCTGTTCTGGATCTCGCTCTGTAGACCAGGCTGGCCTTGAACTCAAAGGGATCTACCTAACTCTGCCTCCTGAGTGCTGGGATTAAAGGCGTGGGCCACCACCACCCAACTATAGTGTATTCTTTTTGTTTTGTTTTTTGTTTTTGTTTTTCGAGACAGGGTTTCTCTGTGTAGCTTTGCGCCTTTCCTGGAACTCACTCTGTAGACCAGGCTGGCCTCGAACTCACAGAGATCTGCCTGCCTCTGCCTCCCAAGTGCTGGGATTAAAGATGTGCGCCACCACTGCCCTGCTAGTGTATTCTTAAGAGAGGTACCATAAGCTCAAGATGTGGCTGTCGAGGATGTGAGTGCATGTGCACATATATGTGGTGGCCAGAAGCACTGTCCACTTTTTTTTTTTTTTTTTTTTTTTTTTGAGACAGGTTCTCTGTGTAGTCCTGGCTGTCCTGGAACTCACTCTGTAGACCAGGCCTCAAACTCAGTGATCCACCTGCCTCTGCCTTCCAAGTCTTGGAATTAAAGGCATGCGCCACCACAACCTGACTTCTTTTGTTTAAAATTTATTTTTATGTGTATGAGTGTTTTGCCTGTATGTATGTCTGTGTATATCACATGTATGCATGGTGTCCATGGAGTCCAGGAGAGGGTGTCAGATACCCAGGAACTGGAGTTACAACTCTAGCTGTCATGTGGGGGCTGGGAATCAAGCCCTGGTCCTCTCTATAAGAGCAGCCACCTGCTCTTAACGACTGAACCATCTCTCCAGCTCTCCCTCCCCAGCTTTCTGAATGTGAGTTCTGGGGATTGAACTCAGGTCCTTGATTTTGTAAGGCAGTTTGCTCCTGAGACATCTCATCCTTACTTGGAGTTTTTGTAGTTACATATGAATCATAGCCTTGTCTTTCCTAGGTCTGTGAAGAACGTTATTAGTGTTTTGAATGGGATTATGTTGACTCTGCAGAATGCTTGGACATTTTAACTGTTGATTCTTCCAATGCATGAACACAAGATTGTGTGTGTGTGTGTGTATCCTTTGCAATTTCTCTCAGTGTTTATAGTTTTCATTGTAGAGATCATTCACATCATGGTTTAAATTTATCACAAATAGCATTGCTTTCTTGATTTCTTGTTTACATAATTTCCTAATGATACACAGCATTGCTACAGGTTTTGTTTGTTTTTTCCTGTAATGAGGACTGAACATGCCTTGTACATGCTAGGTAATTATTCTATCGATGAACTATATCCCTTACTCCTTTTATTTGAGACAAGAACTCATTAAATTTCCCAGGCTAGCCCAAACTCATTCTATAACCCAGGAAAGCCTTGGAATTATAATTCTTCTGCCTCAACCTCCCGAGTGGCTGGGGTTACAGGATTGGATGTTGATTTTTATCCTGAAACTGTATTGAACTTACTAGCGCTAATAGATTTTGGTGAAATTTTTAGGGCTATCTACCTGTAAGACCATGCCATCTGCACCAATGATAGTTGGATTTCCTCCCTTCAGTTCAGATGCTCTTCATTCCTCCTGGCTTTCTCTGACTAGGACTTCAGCATCATTCTGAATACAAGTCCCAGATCTCAGAGGGAAAGCTTTCAGCTGTCTCCCATTCAGTAACATGCTGGCTGTAGGCTTGTTATATATGGACTTAATGTTGGGGTCATGACCACCTACACCTGATCTCTTTTGTTTTTATCCTGGAAGGATGCTGGATTTTAACAATAACTTTTTCCATTTGATGAGACAATCATATGGGATTTATCTTTCAGTCTGTTGATGTGCTGTATCATATTTATTGTTTTCTACATATTGACCTATCATCCTTGGCATGAATCTCATTTGATCGCAGTAACAATCCTTTTAATGTGCTGTTGGGTCTGGTTAGTATCTGGTTGAGCTTTGTATTTTTGTTTGTTTTTAATCACTGTTCTTTTGCTATAAAGAGAGACCAAGTCAACTTTTTTTTTTTTTTTTTTTTTTTTTTTTTTTTTTTTTTTTTAAAGATTTATTTATTTATTATGTATACAGTGTTCTGCCTGCATGCATGCCAGAAGAGGGCACCAGATCTCATTATAGGTGGTTGTGAGCCATTATGTGGTTGCTGGGAATTGAACTCATGACCTCTGGAAGAACAGACGATGCTCTTAACCTCTGAGCCATCTCTCCAGCCCCCAAGTCAACTTTTTAAAGAAATCTTTTCATTGGAATATTGCTTACAGTTTCAGAGGGTTAGTTCATGACCATCATGGCAGGGAGTATGGCAGCAGGCCGGCAGGCATGGTGCAGCAGTATGGCTGAGAGCTTACATCAGATCCGTAAGTTAGAGGCAGACAGAGACATGAGACTGGGCCTGGCGTGGGCTTTTGAAACCTCAAAGCCCAACCCCGGGGGCACACCTTCTTCAACAAGGCCAGACTTCCTAATCCTTTCAAAATAGTCCACCAACTGGGAAACATTCAAATATATGACCCTAGCCAGGGGAGGTGATACACACCTTCAACCCCATCCCATCTTCTTCAAACCACCATAATGTTCCTTACAGATAGAAACCTTATTTTTCCTTTTTATTTTTTTTTATTTTTTTATTTTTATTTTTTTGGTTTTTCGAGACAGCGTTTCTCTGTGTAGCTTTGTGCCTTTCCTGAAACTCGCTTTGGAGACCAGGCTGGCCTTGAACTCACAGAGATCCACCTGCCTCTGCCTCCCGAGTGCTGGGATTAAAGGCGTGCGCCACCCCCACCCGGCTATTTTTCCTTTTTAAAAATGTGTGTGTTTGAGTGTGTTAAGTTGTGTGAGTGTGTTTGTGTATGAGTATATAAATGTATGTGTGTTTTATCTGGTATCGGGCTAATGCTGCCCTGAGAAATGAAATTGTAAGAATTCTTTCTTGTTCAAATTTTCAAAATGTTAAGATTTTATTTTATTTGAGACAGAGCATCATACCAGAGATATCTCAGGCTATATGGACAAGGATGACCATAAATTCCTGATATTCCTTCTTCAGCCTCCCAAGTACAGAAACTTCATATCTGAGGAGACTAGAAGGTTTGAATATGGTAGTTCCTGGAAGAACTCCCCTTTGTGTTTGAATTATAAATGAAGTAATAGTGTCAGATTTAGTTAGAAATGGAACTTTATAGTACACTAATTTTTTTTTGTTTATTTAAAACACTTTTTGAGACAGTGTCTATGTAGCCCAGGCTGGCCTTGAACTAGCAATTCCTCTGTCTCTACCTGCTGAGTGCTGGGATTATAGGCACATACCACTGTACATATCACATAGGGCAATATTCAAAAGGTCATTGGGCCATTTTTTGCCCAATCTTTTTGTGACAACAGGTTCTTATGAGTGACTTGTATTGTGTGTGTATGTGCATATTTGTGTAGATTCATACGCCTCTGTGTGTGAACTTGTGAGACCAGAGGTTGAAGTTGGGTGTCTTCCTCCGTCTCCTGTGTGCCTATTTGTTTGTTTATTTATTTGAGACAGGGTCTCTGACAAAACCAGGAATTCAGTTGATTCAGCCAGACTGGCTGCCTAGCACGCCCCTGGGACCTGCCTTTCTCGCCCACCATTGCCCCACAGCACTGGAGTTGTAGACGTGTTCTGGGGATCCAAACCTCAGGTCCTTCTCACGCCTGCACAGCAGGCAGTTTATCCACTGAGCCATTTCCCCAGCCCTGTGACTTGTAAGATTAGAAACCATGTTAACGCATCAAATTTTAGGGACCTTGAAATCCCAGCATCAAGTGTTTGAACAATGCTTATGAGAACTGGCGATATATGCCACAGGCAAAGTTAACACAGAAAAAGAGAGTTGACTTCCAGGCAGTAGAGAGTCAGAAACTAGGGGATGGCAAGGAGCAGGACCAGGGGGAAAGCAGGTGACTAAACTCAAGAGGTCTAAAATCTGTTCATGCGACTTTAGCAGTTAGCTATGTGGCGCATTTAGTATCGTAGTGATAACTTGCTCATTAAGAGAACAGGCCATGTCTACTTCCTGTTTCCCTGCACTTAGAGCAGATGCCACTAATGTGGCTCTGGGTGGCTGTGACTTTACAAACTTGTAAACTAAATACTAGTGTCCCTTCCAAACCAGTGTTCTGTCCTAAATCCTTCTGGCAAAATGACTTTCCAAGTTGCAACAGGACTTGATTCTAGAATCAGGAGGTTTTCTTTTAAGAGCGGTCAAAAGTGCTATGGGCAGCAGACACTTCAGGCTTCATCTTGAACAAACCTATTTAATGAAGAAGGGGCAGCCAGATGTCCCACCATGATGAAATTAACCCAGTTCTCACCACTAGGTGGAGAAGAAGCCACCATCATTTTTTCGGGAGTAACCTCCATTAGTGGCTGCTGTGTGAGGAGACACTGTGGAGAAAAGGGAATGGGGTGAGCTGGAATTTCAGACCCTTTGCCCCCCACCCCCCTTTTTAATCCTTTAATCAAATGCATTTATTGGTACCGTGAGAAGATTCTTGTAAAGATGGGAAATTGGCATATGATGGACTGATGGAAGTTAACTAAGATCTTCATTCCCAGATTTGTGGCCTATGCCTGCCCTGCTCAAAATGTCACCTAGACAAAATCTGAAAAGCTGAACTCCCTAGTTCTATTAATCAGCATGTCCCTTAGGAGTGTTCTAGTAGATGACAACTTAATCACCAATTCCCGTCCTCTGTGGTCTCCGATCCTCCTGCCAGCCAGTCACCCCGAGCCTGGTCCCTGGAGGTTCAGTGGCACTGGAGCACCCCCACATGCCACCCTGTCTTCTAACCCTCACCTATGGATCCCTGGATGCTGTGGATGGATTCTTTCTTAGGGTTGATCCAGTGTCTGATGATGTTAGCCCGGGAAGTGATGGGGGCCGCAGGAGAGTGGAAACATTCTCCAGAAAACTGGATCTTGCTTCTGGAAAACAGTGAGAGGAGAAGAGTCAGAAAGAAAACATGAGAGGGGAGATAATATCATAAGGTTTCAAGTCCAAGGCCCTGTGTACCTTCTGGAATTATCTTCTTTTTTTAGAGCTAAGGATCGAACCCAGGGCTTTGCGCTTGCTAGGCAAGCGCTCTACCACTGAGCTAAATCCCCAACCACCTTCTGGAATTATCAAAGCATTTGTTTGTTTATTCAGATGGACCTAACTGGATAAATGAACTATCCAGATGAGGATTTCTGCTCATTTTAGAAAATGAAATGCAGAAATGAGGCCTAAGGATGTTGCTCAGTGGCACAGCACTTGCCTGGCATGCATGATATCCTAAGTTTGATCCCCAGCACATTTAAGCCAAAGACAAAAACAAACTATTCTGCTCATAAAACCCCAACTACGTACTTGTTCGTATTGTCACATGTCATTTTGGCTTATGTCACTGATGGTAGTAGCATCCTTAGGGTGGAGAGGCTCTGCCTTCAGCACTTACCCATGCTTATCCTGAATGGTCTCCTGGTGCAACAGTATCTCAGTTTTGTTCTTGAATGCCCCAGTGTGGTGGTCATACAAGGCTGCTAAGCGGAAATCCAGATCATCCTTTGGCATCTACAGAGGAATCAGTCCTCCGACAGTTAACTTGGCTGTTTTGTGCCTTAACTCTAGTCAGATTGTATCCAAAAGAGCAGAAACTCACCAGCACCTAACACTATGTTGTGCATGATGGTGACTTCGTAACTCTTGTCCACAGGAATGATCTCCTGTGGTTAGGCTAAGAGTGGTAAGCTCACTGGTGACATGGAAAAATGGTCTTTGGGTTTGACAAACCTTATCTCATTTATGGTTATATTCTTTTTGTTTGTGTTTGTTTTCATTTTTCAAGACAGGGTTTCTCTATGTGGCCCTGGCTATCCTAAAACTAACTCTGTAGACCAGGCTGGCCTCGAACTCAAGAGAGATTGCCCTGCCTCTGCCTCCCAAGTGCTGGGATTAAAGGTGTGCGTCACTACCACTACCCAGTTCAACCTTTGATTTACTACAGTGTGTGAGAAGAAATTTGATAAAAATGATTTGGAGCAAGCCTTGTGACTTAATAGGTTGGTTTTGTATTTGGTAAGATCTTGAATTGGAACAAAAGGAAAGATGCTGAGGCATTTCAGACTACCTTAGAAAAGGATATTAATGCCAAGTGTGCTGGCATATGCCCATGATCCCAGTACTCAGGAAGCTGAGACAGGAAGATTCAGAGTTCTGGGCCAATTTGGGCTAAATACTAAGTTTGGGGTCAGCTTTGGCTATGTAGCAAGGTTCTATCTGAAAAAAAAATCAATTAATTAATTAAAATAAAATAGAAGATTTTTTTGAGCCCGAAGTGGATACAAAAAAGAAGTAGTATTTCAGTGCTATGTACCTTGGGATCAAAAAAGCAGGCATCTCGCCTCATGGAGGTAAATGTGGGAGTTGAGTTGAGCCGACTCCAGGGTTCCTGCTGCTGAGCAAGGTGAGTTGGGTTCTTAAACGATGATTTCTGCAAAAGAGAAAAAACATGCAGGACTTGGTTACAGGAGGCCTTGCTGATGCAGCGTGGGTCACGTTCATCACCGTGCTTCATCCCATTTTACCTGAATCTCAGAAGGACAGCCACAAAGAGGAGTAATAACAGGGGCAGGCCTCCCTAAGCATTCTGAGTGAGAAATGACTGAAATGGGCCGGGGCCGGGGACACAGGAGAAGCTGGCAGATCAGGGTACTGAGAGGGGAGGGGAGGGAAGGGGAGAGGAGGGCTCGGGGGACAGATCAGAAAGATGATATGTTCATGTTTAGAAGCCCCAGGTCTGGAGAAAAGATGAAACTTCTAATTAACAGAAAAGTGGAAGAGTATGGCTTGCTGGAGAGCTGGAAACAATTGAGATAGATCAAGTTGTCCACATGCAGAAGTAGTTGAAGCCTGCAAAAAAGAGCCTGACCAGAAGGGTCTATGGGGACAGTATTTTCACTCCGGCAATGGGAGACAAAGTCAGAAAGTGTGGTGTCTAGGTGAGAAAAAGACTGTGCAAGAAAGGATAAGGCATGGAGAGGAATGTCGGAAAGAGCTCAGTGAACACTGCTCAGTTCTATAAACACCCCAGACAGACAGAAGTGAGAACAACACAGAGTTATGTTTCTTGGGTATGAAACTGACCATTTTCACCTCCGTATCCTCAGTTCCAAGCACGCTGACCTAATACACATAAAACTGTGCCCTGATCAAACCAATGACTGATTCTAGTAAGCACGACCATCTAGCCTCCTCTCCCTCCATGTAGCAAAGTACTATGTGACTCAACTCAGTTCAGTCTTTGAAGGTTGAACAGTAGGATCAGGCAAATATGTAAAATATGTACACACAGTGCAAACATAGGTTCAGCTATCCCTGCTGCGGCCCTGAGCAGCTCGGTCACCTTCCTCAAAGGCCATACAAGACTCACCATCTCCTCTACTGGCACAAGGGGATTGCCTTTCACTAAGGTTGGGTGGCAGAGGCAGGCGGATCTTTGTAAATTTGAGGCTAGCCTGGTCTACGGTACGAGTTCCAGGACAGCCAGGGCAACACAGAGAAACCTTGTCTTGAAAAAAACCAAAAATAGAAAAAAAAAAGAAAAGAAAGAAAACCAACTGTCGGTCACTGGGGCCAGCCTGCAGACCTCCTTTCTTTGGTCATAGGGAGAAGTCCTTCACTTAGAAGGAAGCATCTCTGACCCAGCCCTTCCCTGTTCTTTGGACTTGTACTATTCCCCATGCCCTCATCTGGCCCAAACATCTCTACCATCCCTTTATCAAGGTATGTCTGCCACATTGTCACTGTCTCCACAGATACACATTTCTGTAAGGGTCAACAGTTACTGTCTCCCCTTCTCCACCCTTTAAGTCTCAACCCTTTGTAGTTTGGCCTCTCTTCCAGTGCCCACTGAACCTGGCCTGGCTCTTGAGCAGCAATCTCTGTGGCTACTAGAAAGATCTTTGCTACCCCTGACCTTATTTGATTCCTGAGATTTCTGGCATTGTAACTCTGAATCCCCACAAATACTTCTCCATCTTATGAGGCCAACTCCTTCTGGTTTAACTTTGGTCTCTGGCTATTACACCTTCTTTCTCAGCTCAGTCTTTTCTCTGCTTCTAATAATGTTCCTTCTTGTTTTATTAGCTCCCAGACATACATCTTCAATCCCAATCTCTCAAGCCTGCCTACCATAAAATCATTTAAAGATTTCACCGGCACCACAGAAACATCCACATGATTGATGCCAACATCTTTCTGCCCAAACCTGCTTCCTTTGGATGCTCTGTCTCAGTGATGGTGCCAATGAAGCCCTCAGAAACTCAGGAGTCTATCTTATATTTATTCATTTTCTTTGGCCCATATTGAGTTGTCAAATCCCACTGCCCTATCCCTTCCATCCTTCTCAAACATCCATCTTTTAGCCATGTCATGTCACTGCTGTGACTCTTCTTCAGGGTTGCTGCACCTGTTTCCAAGCTGAGCCATTTCTGCCTCACTCCATTGTACCCAGTCCACTTCTGTGTGTGATTTTTTTTTTTTTTTTTGGTTTTTCGAGACAGGGTTTCTCTGTGTAGCTTTGCGCCTTTCCTGGAACTCACTTGGTAGCCCAGGCTGGCCTCGAACTCACAGAGATCCGCCTGGCTCTGCCTCCCGAGTGCTGGGATTAAAGGCGTGCGCCACCACCGCCCGGCCTGTGTGTGATTTTTTTAAGAGCCAGAAGAGCCTGTATTCATTGATCACCAATTCTGTGACAGTCTCTGTACATTAGCAAATACAATCTTTTATTATCAGCACATACTAACCATATAAAACAGGTTTCATCATATTTTTTTGTGCCTCCATAAAATTCTGACCATATTTGTCCCCCATTATCCTCTCTTGTTCCTTTTCCAAACAGCCCCCTCTCTATTTTCATGTCCCTTTTCCCCCTTGCTGTGTTGGGGATCAAACTCATGCTGGGCAAGCGTTCTACCACGCATCTACTCCAGTCTCATGTCTTTACTTTTAAACTAGATTATGCATATGTCACATCTGCCTTTCTGAATCTGCCTTGTCTCCCTTGTTATGTTGCACCCATCTCCCTGAAAATATAACTGTTCTTTATGACTGGACAGCACTTGGTTGTGTCTGTCTAGCACTATAGCCAGAAGCTTTTCTGCATCCTGCCTGGTCCCGCAGCCGCTTATAAGATAATCACTCAGAGGCTTATATTAATTATAAATGTTTGGCCGATGGTTCAGACTTATTACTAACTAGCTCTTATATTTAAATTAACCCATAATTCTTATCTATGTTTAGCCATGTGGCTTGGTACCTTTTCTCAGCACTACGTTCTCATCTTGCTTCCTCTGCATCTGGCTGGCATCTCTCTGACTCTGCCCTCCTTCTTCCCATAATTCTCAGTTTGGCTTTCCTGCCTAACTTCCTGCCCAGCTACCAGCGTGTCAGTGTGGGTTTGTTTTTTTTTTTTTTGGTTTTTGGTTTTTCGAGACAGGGTTTCTCTGTGTAACTTTGCGCCTTTCCTGGATCTTGCTCTGTAGACCAGGCTGGCCTCGAACTCACAAAGATCCACCTGGCTCTGCCTCCCAAGTGCTGGGATTAAAGGCGTGCGCCACCACCGCCCGACAGTGAATCAGTGTTTTATTAAACCAATTCAAGTGACAAATCTTTACAGTGTACAAGAGCATTATCCCACAACACTTTCCAAAATACCCGGCAGCTGCTTCTTAAATAATTGACTCAGAGGCTTAATATTATTTAAGAAGGGGCTGCCGGGTATTTGGGAACAGGCAGGCAGGCAGGAGAGAAACTTCCACCTACATATCACAATTTCTTTATCCATTCATGTGGACAGTACCTAGGCTGGTTCTTTAACTTGGGTATTGTGAATATCAGTGTCATAGTACATGTACACAGGCAACTATTTGTTGATTCAATTCCTTTAGGTATCTGGGAGTACCAGAGCAAGCTGTCTTGAGACTCTAAATTTTGCTTTCGATATGACTACACTCTATTCACATAATAATCAAAGATAAAATGAAAGTACATTTCTATCAACAAAGACATATTTACAACTAACTTGTGGAGCTGAGTACATGATACTTTAAAGACCAGTCCTATAAATGTTAATGGCATCCCCTCCTCCATCGATGAAGTTTACCCACATAGGCCACCAGTTTTGTTTTTTAGAACAGCGTCTCATATAATCTAGGCTGGTTTTGAACTTGCTATGTAGCTGAGGCTGTAGGCCCTCCATTTTGCTTATACTCATTTAACACACGTTTTCTGAAAGACATGCACATAGCTGTGTGTGATTCCTAACATACACTGATCGTGACACTTCAGTGCTTGAAATCCCATGATTCCATTCCCCAGCACCTCCAGGCTGATTTCTAGCCCGCTAACACAATGCTCACAACGCTCAGCCACAAGGTCTGGTCTCTCACACCCATTGCTCCGTGTCTTCTATTTCACACCAACATTTAGCTTGTCTGGATTTTCAGTTCCCCAGGCCACTCTGTCTCTCCTTCCCAGGCATATGCACACCTACTGCTTCTTTTCCTGGGCATCTGATTTTTTTCTTTACACACACACACACACATACACACACACACACACACACACACTCACACACTCACACACACCCCTTTCATCTGTGCCAGCTAACTCATCTAGACGCACTCACCTCTGAGAAACCCTCCTTCAGGTTCCTATTCTCAGGACATTCCACCTGTGACTCCTTCACAATACATGTGCCACTGCGGGTAGCACATTTTTGTGTTTGTTTGCTTTTGTGTTTGGAAACAGGTTCTCATAGCTCAGGCAGCCTTAGAATTCCTGGTTCTCCTGCCTTGACCTCCCAAGTGCTGGGATTACAGGCATATGCTTGGCTTGTCTACACATTTTTACTGATGCGCCTGTCTTCCTTACTAAGCTAACTGGACATTAACTATATCTAATTTTAGACTATGTGCCCTCAGTGTTTAGCAGACTGTCTGGCATATAAATAACAAATATTGACTGAAAGGAAGTGCTTTCGTATTGTTATCAAGCTCAGATTACCACTTAATTCACTCTATTGTCCATCTCTTCAAATATCCCAAATACTTATACTAGCATGGTTTGTATCTCCAGAGCACTGAACACAAATTAAACACACTCATAGACAGATGCGTTCCTGCATCAACCAGAGGACAGAAGTATCGTGAAGACTTGCTTGAAGTATGACCTGGCATCTTTCAGAGCATTCTTTTCTAGTCCACATCTCATTTGTCTTTGGAGTACAGATTTCAAGACAAGAAAAAAAAAAAAGGTAGCTGGGCGGTGGTGGCATACGCCTTTAATCCCGGCATTTGGGAGGCAGAGGCAGGCAGATCTCTGTGAGTTCGAGACCAGCCTGGGCTACCGAGTGAGTTCCAGAAAAGGCTCCAAAGCTACACAGAAAAAAAAGCAAAACAGACAAACAAAAAAAACAAAAAAAGAAAAAAAATAGGTAACTTGGTGGAACCCAGCTTTCCCATCACTTACATTAGTCACTGCTTTGATGGACTTTATTCAACAGTAGAGTTCACGTCCCTCTGCTCAAAACCACTTCTGAAACGTTAGCAGACCCAAATAGCGGGCCAAGGAGACAGGCAGAAAACAGTTTTCTCTGGCATTTGGTGGTCTCACCAGAGTTAGGTTACCAGGAGTCTACTGGAAACCCCACTGGGAATTTGCTGAGGAAACTTCAGTACCTTAGAAGCCCGCAGACTGCCCAAGTGTGAGTCTTCTTCACTTAAGGTAGGGTGCGAGAAAGATTCCTGAGAGTGAGGCATACTTAAAGGCCCAAAGACGCTGGCTTAGTCCCAGGAGATTAGCGTAGCCGCAGCACGACCTGTCTCATACAGGATCCCCGGTCCCAATTGTTTGGAACGCCCAGTTTTTGGTTGCCAGGCAACTACCCCTCCATTTATGACAGAGATGTATTTCCTTCGAGAGATGCGCCACCTGGCGGTTCAACTCAGAAGGCTCCTTGGGAGGAGGCTGCTGTGAATACCGAGGAGAGGAGCCCTGGATGTGCTCTCTGGAGCCCTAGTTGGAAAACGCTGGCCTCCCAACAGCTTGGGAGTCCCGCAAAAGCTGACGAAAGAAGTCCTTTAGGATGACCCAGAGGTTTCCTTCTCACCCTCACCTAAAAGAAAGCTTCTCCATTTTCAAAGCAATGAGAGTCCGAGAATGTCAAAACCCCCCAGATCTCACGTGTCCTGATTGGAAAATTGTCGGTTAGGTCACTCTCCTTGCTGTTTAACTATGCAGACGTCAGGGTTGCTCATCGACCCGGCTGTAAAAACATGGATGGATTTGGCGGGGTGGAAGGATGGAAGTAGCTTTTGCAGTTAGTGCTGGGGCCACTCTAGGAGACGATCCCTCGAAGGTAGTGATGACGTTTGTTTTCCCTTTATCATTTCACATGCCACGTTTACAAAATAAGAGATGATTAGAAATAACCTCTGGCCAGGGAGATCAATAAGGGCGAAATGAACTGCTACGGATGGTTGGAGGGTTCTTCTACCGCGTGCTTTACGTAAGCCTGTTGGGTTAGTTGCAAACCCTGGCGCGCGAACTCCCACGCCGCGCGCCAGCGGTGGCGGCTGCCATGGAGACCGGCAGGTGAGCGGCAGAGGCCCGCGTGGTCCCTGCCCCACCCGCGCTGAGCGAAGAGGATGCGGTTGTCAAGGCGACGTGGATAGGAGGAGGAAAGGACCGAGGGAGGAGGAAGGATGGGCGGCCTTGGCGTAGCCGCAGGGAGGTGACTGAAGCGAGTCCAGCCCCTTGCATCCTCCCCCTGTGTACCTCCCTCCTCTTTTTTTCCTCCTTCTGCCAGCATAAGCAGCTACCGCAGCACCTGAGCCGCTACAGCCGCTGGCTCAGGACAGCGCTATGGCTGAGCCTGGTCTCAACCCTCATCCCTCTGCCGGAGGCGGAGGAAGAACTGAAAGGCGCACATCTCGGCTTATGTGGCTGCTGCTCTGGGCTGGGACCACCGTCCAGGTGACCCTAGGAACCGGACCCGAGCTTCACGCCTGCAAAGAGGTACTGTCCACTCCACCCCCTTGACCTGATCTCACTTTGGTCAAAAAAAAAAAAAAGCTTAGCTCCAGATGGAGACCTTGGGGATCCAGGCAGAGTTTCAGGGGCCACGGAGTTCAAATTTCTCTAGGGATGAGAAGTAGGGGTTGGGGGGAGGGAAGCAGGTTGGCGTTGTCATGGGGGAGGCCAGCCCATTGGAGGACTCTTAAAATAGATCACCCTCACAAGCTCTCAGCTCTGGCTCAGCAAGTAAGGTCCGAAGAAGTCGTCCCCAGAAAGAAAGAGAAAGAAGACTGGAGTTGCTTTCCAGATGGGGTGAAATTACCTAAAAGTGGTCGATAACACTGAGAGGCCAAACAGAAAGAGGAAAGGGTAAGAGTAAAGTTGGGGAAAGGCAGGAGACGAGTTGGGAGCCTTGAGGTTTGAGGGTGGGAAGCTCCGGAGAGCGCCTTCTGGTGTTAACACCCAATTGCCCTCCAGTTGTCAGTGGTCCTGCTCTTCCTGTTCCGCGATACGCTTTGCTCAGTGTTTGGCATGTTCCATCTTTGAGTTCTTTAATGTGTTTTCTCCCACTCTCTCTTCTGAACTTATACTAACATATGCCATAAGTCTTTTTCAAGGTGTCTCTAAAACGTTAGCAAATAATTCAGACAGTAGGTAGTGTATGTCTTCTAACAAAAAAAATTTGCTTTTTTGAAAATTGTTTTTTTGGGGGGGCATTTGACATTAGGAATAGCAAAATTCAATAGTTTCTATATTAGTGAAATAATATTTGGTTTGTGCTCTAAGAGACTTAAAAACATATGGTAGAGGCAACAATAAAATATTTACAAGAGCTATATCGGGGAAGGCAGAATAAAATTTATCTATGCAAAATGTGAGAGATTTGAAAACCTGTTAAAAGACTAACATTGGGGCTGGAGAGATGGCTCAGAGGTTAAGAGCACTGACTGCTCTTCCAGAGGTCCTGAGTTCAATTCCCAGCAACCACATGGTGGCTCACAACCATCTGTAATGAGATCTGGTGCCCTCTTCTGGCCTGCAGGCACACATACTGTATACATAATAAATAAATAAATCTTTAAAAAAAAAAAAAAAAAAAAAGACTAACATTGTAGGAGTAATGCTAAATGTCAAACCCAGCCAAAGTTTTGAAGGGTTAAAACAGTCCTTTTAAGTCACCAATGTTAATTAACAATGCTGATTCAGTTCCTTGAGGAGTACTAGTATTATGTAGAGGTTCTAAGCACTAGCTTGTCTACAACATAACACATCATGAATGAACCAAGGGGATTTTTACACGAATAAAGTTTGACTTAAAAGATTCATTAATATTCAAAGTAACCCATCGGGATGGAGAGGTGGCTCAGTGGTTAAGAGAACTCGATGCTTTTGTAGAGGATCTGGGTTTGGTTTCCAGCAACCACACGGCCATCTCTTAATTCCAGTTCCAGGGGATGTGACACCCTCTCTTGGTCTCTGAGGGCCCTGCTTGCATACGGTACACTCATAACATAAAATAAAAACATTTTTTTTAATGAAGTGACCCCAGGGCTGGGATGTAACTACAAGGATTATTTTAACCTCTCAAACCCTAGCTAGGTTTGACATTTAGCACTCCTGCTCCAGTGCTAGACTTTTGACATGTTTTCAAACCTCTCACATTTTGCATAGTTTATAGAGTGCTTGCCTAGCACACACGAAGCACTGGGTTTGATTCTCCAACACTGACTAAACAAGGCATGGAAGCTCATGTCTGTACTCTCAGCACTTGAGAGGTAGGAGCAGTGGGATCAGAAATTCAAGTTTATCCTCAGCTACATAGTGAGAGACAGGCTCCAGAGAGTCATCCTCTGGCCTTCATTTGGGATGTGTATGCCCATATTAATACACATGTCATAAATATACACACTCCATACTGGGGGAAACAGCGGTAACTGGAAAGTGATCCCAGTCAGTGGGCTTTTTAGAACATTTACTTGTCCCAATTATTATACCCTGACCCTGGCCATCTAACATATTTACCAAGCCGCTTCATGATATATTTTAAAAATAACCAAGAACATGATGATCTTCCCAGTGACATTGGTTCACTGGCCCTGGTGGCCTGTGGTCTATTCCCTTGCCTAAGAATTAAACACTGTCTGACAAGATAAGAATTCTACCATTCAATAGCAGATTATCATTAAGACCTTTGTCCACTATGGACCATATGAGACACTGAAGGCCCTGAACACTTACACCATCTTGGTTGAGAGGGAGGGACGAATATCAGCTTAAGAACTCTACTTTGTGAGCAAATGTTGCCTTTAGACCTATTTAAACAAGCAATGTTTGCTTAAGATGGAGTGAGCCGAAGGCAGTGGATAGGTGTTCAACGTTCCACAGTTTGGGAGTTGTGGAATAGACAGTCTGATAACACCAACCTCAGAGAAGACTGTCTTGAGGATGGAAAGAAAAAAAAAATACACCTCAAATACAAAATAGAATTACTTCACCCCTGCTTCTTGGCTCAGACGCTTTAATCAGAGCCACACCTCTGGCCAGGATGAACTGGCTTTGGAGGCATGCTCATTGGCCGTGGGCATCAGCTCCGCTTGAGCAAACGGCCTCTAAACACCCTCGACTCTAAAATGATAAGGAAGATGGGAATGAGTCCATTATTATGGAGTTCTTCATGAGGCAATATGAACTGATCCAACTAGTTTGTGGATTTCCAACACTAAAGGGTGAAAGTCCGGCTCAAGGGAGACTCACCCTTCTTCGTTCTTGATTACCATATGAATTTCTCAAGAGCCTCTTATCAAGCCAAGGCAGTAATGCTGTCACAGGCTCTCTAGAAAGGCTGAAGCAGGAAGAGGGGAGACTTGGCTTGAGGTTCTGTTGAGGTGGCATGGTGCTGGGAGTGCAAGACGCTGGCTGTGCGCCCGGGGTTTGGCACTCCTGTCACAGGTTTACAACGATCGGGGTCACCAGTAGAACAAAACATCCTGGATAATGTTTGTCCACATGAATCACTTCTTTAGCCCTGTGCCGGCCCAGGCTAAGTGCTGACTGAGAGCCAAACATTTTTTTTTTTTTTTTTCATAGTGCAACAGATCTAAATCGAAAGGAGAGGGGCAGAAAACTGCCTTTGACATGATCTGCCTAGTCCTGAGGCTGCTGTGCTAATTGCTCCCGGAGGGACCCAATCCATACCGAAAGGCCCAGGGGGTCCTAGGAATCTGGCAGACACCAAATGGAATAAAATTTGTTGAGTGAGTGACATCTGTGCCATTTAGTAAGGAATCAAGATCATTAATCCCCCGATAGCTTCAGATTCCTGTCCTGTAAAACGAAGGGAGTCGTATCTATCTCACAGGACTGTCGTGAGGACTGGATTGAATTAGACAGCACATGTCAGATACCTAGTATGTACTCCCGGGATATCGTGGGCCCTCAAGAAGCACTGGAGGCAACAAGTCTTGCACACAAATAACAACATGTAAACACTGACCTAAGGTTAGCATGTGGTCAGCAGGAGCGGTGGAAGAGAGGTGAGTGGACAAGACCCTCACGGGAACCATTGGCACTTGGCCTGCCTCTGGAGTAACCAGTTGCACTCACTGGCAGACATGGAGGCTGGTTGACTTCTAGATAGAGGGAGGAACCTGAGGAAAGTGGAACAGATGGGAGAAACAGAGTCTGGGAATTGTAAGTAGACCAGTTGGCTGAAACAGGGATCGATGTGGGGATAGTAGGCAATAAGATCAGAATGTTAGAAATCAAACAGAGAACCCATTAGGATTTCTGGCCAGGATAATAGCCTGCTCAGGGGAATAAGCATGGATATGGTTGAGGATTAGGGCTATATTTCAGTTGCCGGAGTGTTTGCCTGACTTCAAAAAGCCCTAGGTTTTGTTTTTATGTTCAAGCTATCTGTGTATTATTTCTCCTGTAGTTGTACATAAAATCTTTTTATATTTAAAAAAGGACAAATACTATAGAATTGTATTACATGAAATATATAGAATATACAAATTCATAGAGACAGAAAGATTAGACGTTATCTCAAGATGGAGAAGAAAAGAATATAGAACAACGATTTCCCAAGCACAGAATTTCTGTTTTGTGTGATGGAAAAGCTCCACAAACAGACAGTAGTATCAGGACATAATATCATGAATGTAATAAACCAATACAATTAATGTAATTAATGAATATCATAAATATAGTTATTGAATGAATACTGCTAATGTAATCAATGAATACCACAAATGTAATTAATATCATGAGTGTAATTAATGAATATCATGAGTATAATTAATATCTTGAATGTAATTCATGCCACTGAATTGTGAACTTAAAAATGGTTACAATTGCAAATATTATGTTCATTTAAAAAAATAAGGTGGAATGTAATCACCACACATTATATTTGTGTATGAAATTGAAGACAGTGATGTTCTAAAGTAGAAAGTGGTGATGGTGTCATGGGCCTATGAGGATGCTGGACTAAAGTCTATCAAATTGTGCAAACAGGCAAATGGTATACTATGTGAATTATTTGTCAATAAAGATTTTATAAAACGTAAAAAAAAAGAAAAAAAGAAAGAAAAGTCCTAGGTTTGCCAGGCGGTTGGTGGTGCACGCCTTTAATCCCAGCGCTCCGGAGGCAGAGCCAGGTGGATCTCTGTGAGTTCGAGGCCAGCCTGGGCTACAGAGTGAGTAGTTCCAGGGAAAGCTCCAAAGCTACACAGAGAAACCCTGTCTCAAAGAACCAAAAGCAAAATCAAAGACAAAAAAAGCCCTAGGTTCAAACCCTAACATTATATAAACCAGGCATAGTGGCTCGTACACTCCTGTAATTCATTTTTTAAACATATGTGTGTTTTTGTGTGTCTGTGTGGGTATGTGTATGTAAGTACAGGTTCCCTTAGAGGCTAGGAGTGTCGGAGCCCTCTGGAACTGGAGTTATAGGGTATTCCTGTGAATTGAACTGGAGTCCTCTGTAAGAGCAGTGT